CCTGGCTTGAAGGCAGCTGCATAGGGCAGACGGTATGAATTTTGAGACGTTTTTTTTTAGTATTTTGAAAAGAGTTGATTGATTTTGAAGTGGAGAATCCAATTGCTTTCAGCTGTGGACCAATGTTTTGCTCACCGACCCAGAACGTGTTCACTTTGAGGATCATCCCGTATTTGCCTGCCTTTCTCACGGATTTCTACCATATTGTGATGCTTGTTAAAAGTATTATTCAAAATGCTAGTGTTTACGAAGAGGTGATTTATTCAAGAAGTCAATTTTTTCTTGTGAATTCGTATGTTGTTTCTTTTCTAGGAAGACTTTAATCCACATTTGCCGTTTCCCTGTACATCGCATTATTCAATGACTGATGTTATTCAGTTAATGAAGGATATTGAACTTGATCTTGTACGGAGTTCCGAAGACCCGGTACGTCTTTTTTTATATGTCCATTTTGTAATCTAGTATATTGGTTTACAATATAGATCGGCGCAAGACCGCGTAGGGTGCATTTGAAGCAGTCCTTATTCAAACCCGAGATTTCGTCCGTGGAGATTATGTTCTGGGGTTTCGTCATCGGAATATGTGAAATGGCAGTGACAGGAACAGGACACATCCTGTCGTTGGGTTTTTTTTTGCAAAACATGACCCGCTCCGAAATTCCTCCTCTGGTACGGTCGCCCATCTTCCGATTTCCTTAAACTCCCTACTTGCCACCACTTTTCCGGAGTTTTTTCTCAGAATCTCCCCTTTTTTGCAAAAAAGCTGTCGTGGAGTGGAGGGGAGACATCGCGCCTTTGAAACTTAAAAAAAAATTAAAAAGGGTTCAAACCGGAGACATTTTCCTCAGAAGCAAGTACCTTTACCCTCTCACTAACGACCAAATACGACCCCCACCCCTTACCTCCCTAAAGATTCTCGACGCACGGCGTGCTCTGCTCCCGCTTAATTATCGACATACGGCCCGGCCCCTAGTTGCTAGTTTACCGCTGCCTTCCTGATGCAGTGGTAAGACATCCTAGTAGTCCAGTCTAAGACTAAGATCATTAGACTCCCACTATTTTTGCTGCAGGGTGGGGGGGGGCGAAGGGTGTTATAGCAG